CCCCCCCCCCCCCCCCCCCCCGCAGCCCCCCGAAAGCCGCGCACCAAAGATCTCTCTTGTCCAGGGTCACTTTTGCGTGTAGCCGACCGGCTCTTTTCGGCCTCCAGGGGCCCTCGCTGGGCCCCAGGACAAGCAGTACAAGCAGGACAACAAAGTAGCACAGAGGAACAATAGAAGGAGGAAGAAGAGAACGAGAGGAGAAGGGAGAAAGGAGGAGGAGGAGGAGAAGGAGAAGGTGGAGGAGGAGGAGGAGGAGGAGGAGGAGGAGGAGGAGGAGGAGGAGGAGGAGGATCACGAAGACGAGGTGCGACGAGGAAGCGGACGAGGGGGGGCTCCTACCCCCTTCGAACAGCGGCTCAGGATGAAGAGCCCGTGCCAGAGCCTGGGCCGAGGCTTGGGGGGCCCACGTTGGCGGCGAAGATCACGGCGCCGGGGGTTCCGGGAAGGCGTCCCTGGCCCAGCAGGGACCCCCAGCCTTTCGGTTCGAGCGGCGACCCAACCACGGCAGCACCAACGCAACAGCACGAGCGACCTGCGGCGGTGATCGGCGGCTGGGAGCCAGGACGGAGTGGCGGTTGTCACGTGAGCCCGCCTACGTTTCACAGGTTTGAGGCCACGGCCTCCACGCCATGCCCTCCTGGGCACGGGCGGGCTCCCCGGAGGAGCACGCACGACTCTGGCGTTCGCTTCGCTGCGCTTCGCTTCCCACCCCCCCCCCTGGAGTCCCTCTGGGGCCCTCCTGGGCCTCGCGAGGGGCGCTCTGGAGGCCGTCTGGGGCTTCTGGGACGCCTGCGTGGGCACCGTCGCGGGGGATGGGGCGCTCATGGGGGGGGGGGGATGCCTCGATCCCCCCCTCTTGACAGCTCGCCGCCGAGAGAGAGGGGGGCTCGAGGGCCCACCCCGCCCGGGCACGTGCGGACTCGCTGTCGGGGGCGTACCGCCGACCTGTCGGTGACGCATCGCCGATTCCAGCTCGGTGCTCCCCCCCCTTCCAGTGGCAGGCTTGAGCTTGCTCGAGTCGCGAGATCGCGTCGGGTCGGAGACGGATCGGACCGCCAGCGAGCGGTCCTGGATCGAGTCGCAGTCGGATCGCCCCGCCTGGCTCCGGCTGGCCCCGGCCGATGCGGGCGACTCCTACCGAGTCGAGTCGAATCGGCATCGCAGCCCCAGCCGGCGGCTCGACTCGAGCCGAAGCGGATCGTAGGCGGCCCTGCTCGGTGGCGGCCCTGCCCTTAGAGGGTTCCCCCGCACGCCCCGGGGGCCACCCCGGGCCCGCGGCGCCCGCGGCGTGGCACTCCCGAGAGGTCGGCGGCGCCGTACCAGGCTCCGCCACCGGAGGCGCCCTGGCAGGACCGCTCCGCCGGCTCTGACGACGTCGTCTCGCGCGAATGTCGGCCTCGCGCGGATGTCGGCGCCGACATTCGCGCGTAAGCTGCCCGCGTGAGGTCGCGCGCAGGCGCCCTGGTCTCCAGGGTTCGGAGGAGGAAGAGGTGCCCATGCCTCTCCCCGTCGCCCGCCCGTCGCCCGACTTCCCCTTTTTGGGGCCTCCTGGGAGGCCCTCGCCGCCACCGCTGGACTCGCCTCGGAATCCTGGTCAGAGCGCACCCCAGGAGAGCTCCAGGGAGCAGCAGTATCGGTACCTTTTGGTTTCCCGAGGGGCGCGCGTAGGCGCCCTCGTCTCCAGTGTAGCGTGCTGCGGTGGCGGCCCGCGTAAGCCGCCGCGCAAGGTCGCCGTGTCGTCTTGCGCAAGACCCGTTTTTGATCGTCGCTCAGCTGGCTCCCTCTCTCGCGCAGTCGGCGTGAGCATACGCTGTCAGAGGTCCGCGCGGGTTTCGGAGATCTGCGCTGGACTCCGCGACCACCTGCGGACCTTATGTGCACTTAAGTCGGGAGTGTCCCTCTACAGGAGGAATATTCGAAAACAGCCCCATAAATAGTCTGGGGGTGAATTTTGTATCACTTTTTGATTGTTTTTGGGGCATTTTTCTGGACCATTCTTAGACTGTCCGCCTAAAATCCGCCTGTAGGAGGACATGCCCAACCTCACTCTGGGGTCTCGGGCGCCTCCCCGCTGGGGTCAACCCCTGGCTGCCGGCGTCCTCCCCGAATTCCGAACCCCAGCCCGTGCCGGCAGGGGCTCTCTCCGGGCTCCAGGCATCGGGGACGCCCAGGGGTCCCGCGCCGATCCCAGATGCCCACGCGGACCTTAGAACGCTGATGTTCATGTCCCACCCGACGGGCTGGGGATCTCGGACTGGAAGAGCAAGGCTCCCGACCTGCCTCGCACACCACATGCGTGCCGCGGCCGCTGGGCAAAAGCGTGTGTTTCAGTGCTCTCCTGGGCTCCCGCCCCGCGTCGTTGTCTTCGGCGGACGGCGGCTGCATGCCGCGGCTGGCGGGCACACCAGCCGTGTCGGTGCTTCCTGGGGATCCCGCCTCGCACTCTCGGGCGGGGATCGCTCGAGGCAAGACAGCGCCATGCTTCTTCTTCTTCTTCTTCTTCTTCTTCTTCCTCTTCCAGGACCGCTCCTCCTGGAGTCAGCTGGCGGAGATCGCCCTGGAATGCACGCACGCCGACGGCGTGGAGCTGGCGAGGCTGCCGCTAGGCTTCCGCGCTTTGGCCTTCGCGGTGGACCCCTGCGGCGGCCGCTTCGCCGCCACCGTTGGCCGGCAGCACCAGCCGGAGTTCTTCGAGGCGCTGGTGCCGGCGATCGAGGGAGAAAGCAAATTCGGTGGTTCAAAGATGGGTCCTCAGGACGAGGACGAGGTGCCCCAAGCAACGTGAGTCCACCCTTGGACCCCTTCCTATGCTTAATTAGGCCCCCATCCCTCTGGACCCCATCTTGGAACCACCGAAAACTGCACAAACATCAATTTTCGACGGGCCGCGGTGATTTCTTGGATCTGTGCTGGACCTCCCCTGGTGGCGCCTCCGGCGCCGCCTCTGGCGCGCTCCGCGCGCCAGGGAGGGGGGGTCCAGCGCAGATTTAAGTGGGACGTGTCCCTCTACAGGAGGAATATTCAACGATAGTTAAAACTAGTCAGGGGAGTTTTTTTTTTGTTGTTGTTGTTTTTTGTTGTTGTTTTGTTTCTTGCTCTTTAAAACATATTTTTCTTATGTTTAGATTATTTTTGATTTTCGTCCACAATCCGCCTGTAGGGGGACATGCCCGACCTAAGCGCAGGTCCAAGAAGTCCGCGCAGACCGTCGAAAGTACTGTCTGTGCAAGCTTTTCGTCCTCCAGGCGAGGGACCGCCTGCAGGGCATCTCGCGCGCCCACTTCGAGCTCACCTGGGACCCGAGGGAGGGGGGCAGGCTGCCAGAGTGGAAAACGGGTTACGATACCTGACTCGTAGGGCGCTCTCAAGCCTGTGCCTTTTTTCAGTGGCGTCTAGCTTTCGGCCTCGGGGGCCTCTTCAGGACAGCTCTTGACTGAAATGGCTAAGGCATGAAGTCCGCAAGCGTACATGTGACACACTTTTGACTGCAATGCTGTGCGATCGGCGAGTAGCTACACATGCAACTGACTATCAACAGTTCTCCTGTACTGGATGCTTGCTGATCGCTATTGCTGGGTCTCTGCGCAGAGGAGGGCGGACAAATCGTGCCCTCCCTTCCGTTTTTCTGTTGTTGTTTCTTTTATTTTTTCCCCCTATGCTTTTTTCTGTCTCCTCGTCTTCGCCTTTCTGGGCCTCCTGGGAGGCCCGCGTCGCCACGGCTGTATTCGCCTCGACTTTCTGGTCAGAGCGCGCCCCGGGACAGGTGTGGGGAGCAGCGGTATCGATGTCTCATGGTTTCCCAAGGCTGGCGCTCCGGAAGCTGTCGGGAAACCCTCTGCTCGTCAACGAGGCGCCGGTGGAGACGTCCACGGCCGTGCCCATCAAGGACGGCACCAACATCGGCTTCAGCGGCATGTCCGACACCGACCCGCGATTCCTGCTGCTGCGCGTCGCCCTCCGCACACGCGAGTGCGTGAATGCTACGGGCCCTCACCCTGCCATCTCGACGAACAAAACAGGGGAATTCACATAAACTTTCAGAGCTCCGCGCGAATTTCTTGGATCGGCGCTGGGCCCCCCTCCCTGGCGCGCGGAGCGAGCCAGGGGCGGCGCTAGAGGCGCCGCCAGGGGGGCCCATCGCCGATCCAAGAACTCCGCGGACCTCCGACAGTTTATTTGTGTCGCTTCGCGGGGTGCACGTCCGGAGCACGTTAGGACTGGTCGTTGGGTGGTTTGCCCTGCTCTTCTGCCGCGCTGTTCTGCCGTGCTGTTCTGCCCGCCCTGGGGCGCTGCCAGCGCCACGGGTGGCGGATGCCCCGCCTCCCCTGTTTCAGATGAGCATTCACCGCGTGTCAATACAAGGCAACGCCAAGTTCAAGCTCCGATGTGCATACAGTGCCGTTTTTAATACATGCTCCGCGTGCGGATCATGTATGAAACATGCAGGGATTTAGTTTTAAAAGCCATAAACTAATCATGTATTAACCATCCGATTTTTTTATGTAAAAAGTATAAAGCATCCTATGTATGAAAACTGCCCTGTAGCAACAACGTGCCATTCGTACACAATTCCGCGGGCTTCTTGGTGGTTTCTTAGGGCCGTTAGGAGCCTCTTGGGGGTCCCTGGGGCCTCTGGGGGTCTTGGGGGGCCTCTTGGGCCGTCTTGGGACGGTCTTGCATCGTTTGGCCCCTTCGGAGGCCGTCTTGGGGGCCTCTCGGGGCCGCCTTGTGGCCCTCTTGGGGTCCTCTTGCGCCGTTTTCGGGTCTCTTGAGCCGTTTTGGGGCTCTTGGGCCATCTTGGGGTCCTCTTGGGCCGTCTTGGGGCCCTCATGCAGGCCTCTGGGACCGTCTTGCGGCCATCTTGGAGGCTGCTTGGGCCGTCATGGGCCTCCGAGAATTAAATTGTAGGCGCTCTTGGCCCCCTCCCCCCCTTGCGGGCCCTCTGGGGCCGTCTTGGATGCCCCTTGGGCCATCTTGGGACCATCTTGGGCCGTCTTTGG